TATAGGCAAGTAATCCCCAATGTATCCCTATGGGGAAGTAACTCCCAACGTTTCCCTATGGGCAAGTATGGTTTCCCTATGTGCAACTATTCTGCAATGTGTTCCTATAGGCAAGTATTCCCCAATGTATCCCTATGGGCAAGTAATTCCCAATATTCCCCTATGGACAAATATTGTCTAATGCAGGGGTAGGCAACCTTTCCCCTTTAAGGGCCGAGGGACTTCAGCTCCCAGAATCCCAGGAGCTATTGGCCAACATGGGACTATTGGCCAACATAGCTGAGGCTTTTGGGAGCTGAAGTCCCTCGGCCCTTAAAGGGGAAAGGTTGCCTACCCCTGGTCAAATGTTTCTGTATGGGCAAATATTCTGCAGTGTTTCCCTATAGGCAAATATGGTTTCCCTATGGGCAAGTATTCTCCAATGTATCCCTAGGGGTAAATACAGTAATTCCCAATATTTCTCTATGGGCAAGTATGGTTTCCCTATGGGCAACTACTGTCTTTTGTTTTAGTGTGTCCACTTTGACACTAACTGAAAGAAAGAAGTTGGCAGCATGAGCTTTCATAGATTTTCTTCACGAAATGCATCTGCGGAAGTAGATTTTAGTCTACGAAAGGTCATGCTGCCAACTTCTTTCTTTCAGTTAGTCTCAAAGGTGCTACAAGATCAAAAGTGATAATATGTCCATAAAAAGCATCATATGAGTGAATCCCCCGCACTACAAGATTATTTTGCACACTGATTCTACAGACTAACATGGCTATATCTTTGAATTCTCCCATTAGAGAAGTTGGTAGTTGGTTTTTAAAACCAAGGTCCAAAACAAACTGCAGAAACAATCCAGTTTGCAGACCATTTAACTGTCCTGGTTCAGTGCTAGGGAATTCTGGGAATTGTAGTTTATTGTGGCACCAGAGGTCTCTTACAGAGAAGGCTAAATGTCTGTCAGAACTGCAGTTTCCAGAATTCCCTAGCACTGAGCTGGGGCAGTTAAAGTGGTGTCAAACTGGATTATTTCTGCACTGTCTTTTGGACCAAGATGTAAATCCAGTGTCTAGGAACGCTGAGGCTGCAACTTCTTTTGCACAGTCTCAAAGGGGCTACAAGATCCCTTAGCCTACCTTTATTTTTGAGACACGGATGGAGAGAGAGGCCTAGAGAGGGAAAAAAGGAGATTTTCTCTCAAAGTATCAATTGAACTGGCTTGTTCACAGTTGTGACTGGGACTATGTAATGCGAGGGGGGAGGTTTCTGGAAACATACGCCCCCGTTAAATTATTAAGTTATTATTTCAAGGATTTATATCCTGTCTTTCTCTCAAATGGGATTCATAATGGTTTTTTTTTTGGGGGGGGATGATCACATCATGATCCTTTCTGCCTCCAGTCTCAGCCAGAAATTGGGGTGGAGAGGTGAAACCAAAACAAAGCAGTATGCAAAGACATCTTTGCAGCACCTTTGGGACTGACTGAGAGCAAGAGCTTTTGTGGAGGTGGGGAGGTGAAAACAAAACAATGAGAAAGCAGTATGCAGAGGGATCTTGTAGTATTGTTGAGACTAACTGAAAGAAAGATACTGGCAGCATGACTTAAGCCTACTTCAGGGTGACTGCAAGGGAGGACAGCCTAACTGCAAAGGAGGGCAAGGTATTGTAAAATGGAGGCTTTCAAAAAAAAAATGGAGGATGTTACAAAATAAAACCTACCAACACTCATAAATATAAATTCCTGCTTCATAAGTCATGCTCAAAATGGAAGACATTTGGGAATTCCTCCTGGACAGAAGGTTGAAATGTAGGACATGTCAGGGGAAAGGAGGACATCTGATCACCGCTCCTCCCCAGCCCTGATGGTGAAGGAGGTAGGCTCAAGTCTACGAAACCCTGCAACTGAGGAAATAGGCCCAAGTCTAGAAAAGAACTTGCTACCAATTTCTGTCTCAAGTCTCAAAGGTGCTGCAAGATCCCTCATACTGATATTCCAGATTAACATTAATATCGTTGAAAGAAAGAGGTTGATAGCATGAACTTTTGTAGACTTGAGCCTGTTGTTGTTGTGTACCTTCAAGTCATTTCCGACTTATGGCAACCCTGAGGTGACCCTAGAGCAGGTGACTTGCTCAAGGTCATCCAATGGATTTCATGGCTGAGCTGGGAATCAAACCCTGGTCTCCAGAGTCATAATCCAATGCTCAAACCACTACGCCACTCTTGAGCCTACTTCCTCATAAAATAAATGGGCTAGGAGATATTATATAGTTAGGCATTTATAACTATTCTGCTTTGGATATTCTCACACACAGACTGCTACATAGGTCTGTCCCTCAGCTCTCCTTTCCACCACGTGCATCTGAGGAAGTAGGTTCAAGTCTATGAAAGTTCATACTACCAACCTGTATCTTTCAGTCAATCTCAAAGGTGCTGCAAGATCCCTTCGCATACTACTTTGTTGTTGTTTTGTTTTCACCTCCCCACACCAATCTCTGTCTGAGATTGAAGGTGGAATGGGTTGTAACATGGCAATTTCCTCCCAGAAACCATTGTTTAAGTTCTTGGGGGAGGGTTCATATGTTTCCATAAACCCCCTCCCCCCAAATTACATAGTCACAGTGTCAATTGTAAAATAGGGGAACATGGCAAAACTTGCCTGATGCTTTGAGAGAAGTCGAGAGAAAAGTTTTTTTAAAAAATCTTTTTTTTTAGGCCTTTCCCCATCCCTCTCTAAGAAATAAAGATAGGCAAAGGGATCTTGTAGCCCCTTTGAGACTAAGGGGGGTTGCAGACTGCCAGAAATAGTGCAAATTGAGCCCACTTTTAGGGTTAGGGTTAGTGCTAGGGAATCATGAGAATTGTGTTTTTTTCTGAGACATTGAGCCTTCTCTGTCAGAGAGCTCTGGTGCCACAATAAAATACAGTTCCCATGATTCCCTAACCCTTAAAGTGGACTCAATTTGCACTATTTCTGACAGTCTGCAACCCCCCTAACTGTGCAAAAGAAGTTGTAGCTTAAGCTTTTGCAGACTTGATCTACTTTCTAGATGCATGGAGTGAACTGGTGCCCAGGAAGAACCTTTATAGTCATCCTTTGTGAATAGCCATAGAAATGCAAAACCCATCTCCAGTATCATAGTCACTATACCAGGTTAGCTGTCATGGCTATTCATACTGTCTGATTATAAAGCTCCTTCCTTGGCACTTGTTATGGCACACGTGTGAGGAAGTACACTAAGTCTGTGAAAATTTATGCTACAACCTCTTTTGCTCTGTTAGTCTCAAAGGTGCTACAAGATCACTTTGCAGACTGATATTCCAGTCTAATATGGCTATGTCTCTCAATTCTCTTTCTTCATAAATAAAGGGTATGTGATGAGAGGGCTTCTGTTAACCGGACCTTGGAACTTTACACAGAGGAGCATAGTCAGCCTCCTTTCCTCTGAGCCTGCTTTTATTTTGGGAGGGTGGTGATCCTTTCCCCTGGCTTGGTACTCCTTGTGCTTTTACTAGCTTTGGCTTCCTTCCCAGCAATAACACTTGCCAATCCTTCTCTTGCCCTTCCCACTGAGATCTGCTGGGAACAGGGTCTCCTGATACTTAAATTTCTATTCTACTCCACCATGTGTGCATCAAGTTAGTTCCTGTGTTAGGCAGAAGAGTTATCTGAATTGGTTGGATCTTTCTTTTTAAACATTTTCCATCTGCAGGGGGTGTTTTCTCTGTTAAACTGCTCCTTTCAGAAATCACTGCAACATCTGCAATAGAAGAATGGCACACCAGGCTATACAAGATGATGAATGTGGACAAATTAACCCTCTTAATAAGAGGTTATAAGTTGATAAAATTTGATGATCAGTGGAAAGAAGTAGTACAGCGTATGGGTGGTCCAATAGCGATCTTGAGTTTAAAAGACTAAAAGAAAACAATTAAAAAATAATGTTTAACAAGGGAAAAGTGATTAGTTGGCTGCCAGGCTGAGAAGTTTACAGATTTTGAATTATGGTAAAGAATACAACGTTTAGAAAAAAATACCTGTGTTTGTCTTTAAATGTTGGTATGTTTGCAGTAGGTATAAGAGTCAGAGAGATGTAGATTTTAACAAAGAGTGAAGAAAGGGGGAAGGTACAGGTAAAGCATACACCAAGCTGAATACTTCAAATGTTAGAGAAAGGGAAAATATGTGGTTTTTAATTTGTATTTGTAGCTCTACTTTGTGTTCATGTTAATACAAATATATTTTTTTTTAAAAAAGAAATCACTGCAATATCAAGAGCCTCTGCAAACAAAAACAGAGACAACACCTAAGCTACTCTGGGAGGTTCCTTAAGGATGGGATCTCCACACAGCCATCTCTGTGATGGTTAGCCCATGGTTCACCTCTGTTGTGCGCCATTCAGGTTTGGGGACAGGGTAACTTTCTTTTTAAAAAATAAGGGCCATCTTGCATTGCTGCTCTTTTTCAATGCAACTGCAACAGCCATGGTGACCCACTTTTTAAACAACAGGTTGAAAGTTAAAAACAGTTATTTGCTATTTTGGGTTTGACTGCAGGGAGCACTGGGATTCATTTGAGTGTAGGATATTGGATGAAGTATAAATACTGAACTGGCTTTATCAGGAGCCAGGCAGGTTACAGATAAGTGGGTTTGAGGCCCATCTCAAATGTGTGTTTACATTTTGCTTGTTCTTAAGAAACTGATGTTTCCATAAAATTGTAACCAGTCACTTGATAAGTGACTTTTTGGAAACTCTTAGCTGCCTGTTGCCTATGTAGACAACATTTTCTCTATTGTTTTAATTTGAAGTAGTGATGGTTGAAGATAAGAAAATAGTAAAATCCTTGTATAGCCGTTTTTGGTGCTTTTGTCTAGAAAGACAGGGGGCCTATCCTGGGCTTTGAACAGTTGCCTCCCATGCCAAAGCAGGGGCTGAATTTGAGTTGAAGGAAAAGGGAGAAAAATGTAAACAGATTGAGAAAAGCAAGTCTTCCTCTTTAAAATGGCCTCATAAAAGGTGTTAGTTGCTTTATATTGGCAGATTTTTGTATTCATTGCTTAGCTCAAGTCACATATTTTCCTGGCTTCTCTGTTTGGATATCTACCAAATTAGGTTTTCCCCCCTTCGAGTGGAAGACCAGACAATTGTCTGATTTTTTTTTTAGCTCTGTATGAAATATATATACCAGCAGTGCTAAATCTGCTTGCTATGCTGGACTTGCCTTTTTGTGCTTCAAATGTATTATGTGAAGGTGTCATATTAATCACTGTAAACACTTGTCCACATGCAGTCTTAGGGAAGAGGAATTTTATGTTTTCCATTCCTTCATATAATTGTGAGCTGTAAGTTAAGCTGTGAACTCCCTTTTTTAAAGTTAATATGGAAAATGTTCTTTAGACATACTTGCTGCTACAAGCTGGGTAAAAGCCAGGAATTCAGGTTAAGCTCTTTTTGCCCTTTCTGCTTCAGTGATAAGTAAATATGTTCTGAGTTCTTGTTACATCTTTAAATGGAATCAAATTAGAATTTTGAAACCCTGTTTATCCAGGCTAGAAAAAAAATCTTAAGCTATAAAAGGTTTCTTTGTCTTTTCCTAACTTCATTATCTCTCTTTAAATGTAAAATACAATATCTTGAAACAGATTGAATTTTAAATATTTTTTTTCCAGCAAACGTGTTTAGTGGTTGATTTCATGGTTCTTTGTATTGCTTGTGTTGGCAACCACCCATATAGGTTTAGCTGCATTGCTAGGCAACCTCACATGTATGCTGGAATAGTAAAATCTGCACTTGGTGACTTTCCTTTGCTGGTTTCTCTGGATCTGTAGCTTCTGCCTGGGCAGGTATGCCAGAGTCTGAACTTGTGCTTTGTTAAATGCTTGGGGGATATTTGCTTGGCTGTATGTTGTTGGACTACAAGCCCCGTCACCTCTAAGCAGCATAGTCAATGGTGAAGACATACTGGGAGTTAGCCCACCAATATCTGGATGGCTACATTTTGGTTCTGAGTATACATGTTTTCCAACCACTCCTGATCCTTTTTACTTTGCTACTTTTCAAAGGTTCTATGTTGTCAGACAGGGAATAATTTCATCTTGCCTGGGACTCTATTTTTCTTTTGTCCTATAAATCTCAGTGAAAGGGAAGAAAAATCCTAGGCATGTGTACCACTAGATCCCTTCCATTTGGGACTGGGGAGGTGGGTTGGCAGGAGGGGGAGGTCTAACATACTCTGCTTTTCTTATTTTCAAAGGTGGAAATCCTGACTGTTACCGTTACATCTTTCTCCCCAACTCCTGAAATGCCAATACACAAATATTCACATTAAAAATACAGGGCATGACAGTGAGTGTTTTAATGCTACATGTAAACTATTTATTATATTTATTTATATCCTGCTCTTTTCCCAGGACTGAGACTCAGGGAGGCTTACATTAAAAAAATACAATTAAAAACATACAAAAATAATACATTAAAATAGAATTAAACTACCACAATAAAAAAAGATAAAAATGTTTAAAATACATTAAAACAATATAGCATCCCAGGCTGTTCTTTAAACTATTCCCTTGATGGGAATCATAGCATTTCTTGTCACGAATCTAGACTGAAATTGTAATCCTTATGTTAGTGCGGTGTTTCTTATTTTTGGTGGTTTCATTGACTCCTTTCAAAATATGCTGATGGCTGTGGATCCTCCATGCTGACAAATTTAAACTCAATTTCAAGAGTAATAGGGAGGAAATCAAAGAGCCAAAATCATTACTTTGGGGGGCTCCATTCACAGACACACTGAAGCCCATCCAAGGACTCATTAGAGGTCCATGGACCAAAATTAAAAATCCCTTGTTTTAGGACATCTAGACTTTATTGTAGTGCTTGATTTTCTGATACAGTGGTAATGTTCATTGACAAGCTTTTGAATGGTAACCCATATCAATATTTTGAAAAATAAAAGTGTCTGAGAAAGCAGATCAAGTCTGAACTCTCTCTAGAAGCATAAAGGACTGAACTGAGTTATCATACTTAGACGATCTGAAGAGAAACCAGAGTATGAGTTAGGAAAAGTAGTGAGACTGCATGAAAGCAAGAAAAGAAAATGCTAGAAAGAAGTAGCAAAAGAAGACCATAATGCAGATGGATTGATCCAGTCAAGGAAGTCCAAAAGTTGAATTTGCAAGACCGGAGCAGAACAGTTCATGACTGGACTCTTGATGGTCATTTATT